GCTCGCCGTCGGGGCCGGCCCCCTTGGCGGTGGTGCGGGCGAAGAGGGTGCCGTCCAGGTGGAGGTGGCAACGGAGACGCCGCCGAGGTGGCAGGTCCCGTGCTTCGTAGACCCACAGGCTCAGGGCCAGCTCCAGCCGCTCACAGTTGTCCTGTGGGTGGTGGGGGACAAGGGGGACACAGCGGGTGGTGGATGAATCTGAGGGGAGTTTGGGGGAGGACAAGGTGAAGGTGACAGGGAATTCTGCTGGTGGATGTGGGGATGGGGGGAGTGGGGACAGGAGGGGACATGGGAAACCTGGGGGGACACACGGGGATGGAGGGGACAGGAGGGACAGGAAGGGGACACGTGGGAATGGGGGGGACCAGGAGGGACAGGACAGGATGTGGAGGGACAGGAGGGGACATGAGGGACCGGGGGGACATAGGGGACAGGGCAGGACATGGGGAACAGGAAGGGACATTGAGGACAGGAGGGGACATATGGGAATGGGGGGGACAAGAAGAGACAGGAGGGGACATGAGGGACAGGGTGGGAATGGAGACAGAACAGGACGTGGAGGGACGAGAGGGGACATGGGGGACAGGAGGGGACATGAGTGCCAGGGCAGGACACTGGGGACAGGAGGGGACGTGGGGTTCTGTGGAGGGACCTGGAGACAGGAGGGGGACAGGAGGTGACATTGGGGACAGGAGGGGACAGGGATTTGGTGGAGGGACATGGGGACATGATGGGACATGGAGGACTGGAGAGGACATGGGGGACAGGAGGGGACATGAGGACACTGGTGAAGGGGGTGGGGACAGCCAAACCCACCGTGGGACAGGAGGGGACGCGAGGGGACAACCAAACCCCCAGGGGACAGGAGGGGACATGGGGGGGACGCCCAAGCCCCGGGGGGGACAACAGGGGGACGCAGGGAAGGGGGTCCCCACAGGGCTCCAGGATGGGGCATGGGAGGGATTCGTGCCTCAGTTTCCCCACCGGTGGCCCCTCAGGTCGGGGTGCTGGGGGTCCCCGTCCCCTGGGGGTGCCCCGGGGGTGTCCCCGGGGGTGTCCCCGCGGTGTCCCCACCTTGTTGGGCTGCACGGTGCGGCGCAGGTTCTCGATCCAGCGGTCGCGCTCGGCCAAGGAGGTGCACCCGAAGGACCGGCTGCCCTCGCCCGTGATGATCTGGGGGGCAAGAGAGAGGGGGTGAGGTGGGGGGAGGTCCTCTTGGGGTGCCCTGGGTGCCCCTCCAGGGTGCCCTGGGGTGTCATAGGTGACTCTCCAGGATGATTGGGGTGTCGTGGGTCCCTCTCCAGGGTGCCCTGGGGTGCCCTGAGTGCTCTGGATGCTTCTCCAGGCTTCCTTTCCTGGGGTGCTCTGGGTGCCCCTTCAGGGTGCCCTGGGGTGCTTTGGGGTGCCCTAGGTCTTTCTCCAGGGTGTCTGGGGTACCCTGAGTGCCCCTCTGAGGTGCCCTGGGGTGCTTTGGGGTGCCCTGGGTGCCCCTCCAGGGTGCCCTGGGGTGTCATAGGTGACTCTCCAGGATGATTGGGGTGTCGTGGGTCCCTCTCCAGGGTGCCCTGGGGTGCCCTGAGTGCTCTGGATGCTTCTCCAGGCTTCCTTTCCTGGGGTGCTCTGGGTGCCCCTTCAGGGTGCCCTGGGGTGCTTTGGGGTGCCCTAGGTCTTTCTCCAGGGTGTCTGGGGTACCCTGAGTGCCCCTCTGAGGTGCCCTGGGGTGCTTTGGGGTGCCCTGGGTGCCCCTCCAGGGTGCCCTGGGGTGTTCTGGGGTGCCTTGGGTGCCTCTCCAGGATGATTGGGGGGCTCTGGGTGCCCCTCCAAGGTGCCATGGGTGCCATGGTCGCCCATCTAGGCAGCCATGGGTGCCCTGGGTTCCCATTCAGGTTGCCCAGGGTGACCCCCCAAGATGCCATGGGCACCCTGGGTGCTGCTCTAGGTTGCCTGGGGTGCCTTGGGTGCCTCTCCAGGCTTCCTGGGGTGCCCTGGGTGCCCCTCTAGGTTGCCGGGGGTGCCCTGGGTGCCTCTCTGGGGTGCTCTGGGGGTCTCTCCAGGTTTCCTGGGGTGCCCTGGGTGCCCTTCCAAGGTGCCGTGGGTGCACTGGGTGCCCCTCCAGGGTGCCATGGATGCCCTGGGTTCCCCTTCAGGTTGCCCAGGGTGCCCCCCCAAGATGCCATGGGCACCCTGGGTGCCCCTCTAGGTTGCTGGGAGTGCTCTGGGGTGCCTTGGGTGCCTCTCCAGGATGATTGGGGGGCTCTGGGTGCCCCTCCAAGGTGCCATGGGTGCCATGGTCGCCCATCTAGGCAGCCATGGGTGCCCTGGGTTCCCATTCAGGTTGCCCAGGGTGACCCCCCAAGATGCCATGGGCACCCTGGGTGCTGCTCTAGGTTGCCTGGGGTGCCTTGGGTGCCTCTCCAGGCTTCCTGGGGTGCCCTGGGTGCCCCTCTAGGTTGCCGGGGGTGCCCTGGGTGCCTCTCTGGGGTGCTCTGGGGGTCTCTCCAGGTTTCCTGGGGTGCCCTGGGTGCCCTTCCAAGGTGCCGTGGGTGCACTGGGTGCCCCTCCAGGGTGCCATGGATGCCCTGGGTTCCCCTTCAGGTTGCCCAGGGTGCCCCCCCAAGATGCCATGGGCACCCTGGGTGCCCCTCTAGGTTGCTGGGAGTGCCCTGGGTGCCTCTCTGGGGTGCTCTGGGGGTCTCTCCAGGTTTCCTGGGGTGCCATGGGTGCCCTGGTCACCCATCTAGGCAGCCATGGGTGCCCTGGGTGCCCTGGGTTCCCCTTCAGGTGCCCTTCCAAGGTGCCGTGGGTGCACTGGGTGCCCCTCCAGGGTGCCATGGATGCCCTGGGTTCCCCTTCAGGTTGCCCAGGGTGCCCCCCCAAGATGCCATGGGCACCCTGGGTGCCCCTCTAGGTTGCTGGGAGTGCCCTGGGTGCCTCTCTGGGGTGCTCTGGGGGTCTCTCCAGGTTTCCTGGGGTGCCCTGGTTGCCCATCCAAGGTGCCCTGGGTGGCTCTCCAATGTGCCCAGGGTGCCGTGGGCGCCCTGGGTTCTCCTCCAGCTTGCCCAGGGAGCCCCTCCAGGTTGCCCTGGGTGCCAGGGGGGGTCAGGTTGCCTGGTTGCCCATCCAGGGTGCCATGGGTGCCCTGGGTTCCCCTTCAGGTTGCCCAGGGTGCCCCCCCAAGATGCCATGGGCACCCTGGGTGCTGCTCTAGGTTGCCGGGGGTGCTCTGGGGGTCTCTCCAGGTTTCCTGGGGTGCCCTGGTTGCCCATCCAAGGTGCCCTGGGTGGCTCTCCAATGTGCCCAGGGTGCCGTGGGCGCCCTGGGTTCTCCTCCAGCTTGCCCAGGGAGCCCCTCCAGGTTGCCCTGGGTGCCAGGGGGGGCACTCCCCGACCCCTCCCACCCCCCCAATTACCTGAAAGCAGAACTTCTCGCCCACGATGCTGCCGTGGACGGGCCGGACGATGACGTTGTCCCCGGTGAGGTCCAGCTCTGCCAGGCTGGGGGGTGGCAGCAGCGACTCCCGCGAACCGCTGCGGCTGGGGACCCTGTGG